TTCCGCTCATTTCTCCCATGTTATTATCCAAAGTGAATGTAAACTTGAATAATGTACTTCATTTGAATGTAATAATTATGTTGGTTGTTGTTTGTGGAAGCGCCAGTGAATGAGCCCCATTAACTGAGTTTTAAACATCACTTTAAATGGAAGATCACCATAGGCCCCGCCCACTCGATCGGATCGGCGATCGGCCGATACTGATTCCGGCGATCGGCCCCAAAATTAGCGATCGGAGCATCCCTAGTAGTTGGTCCTTTGTGTTGAAGGAAAACAATGGAGGACTTTGAAAGCATCAAATGTCAAGTCTTTTTCTGTGCCCTTCATCATCCTCTATCCGTCTAATCACATCAGTGAAAACCAAACAATTTGTCAAACATATGAAAGCCTTTGAAATAATTATATATTTTTCTACTTGGGACTTTCGGAAAAGAAACATGACATTCTGGACTGCCTGCTTTGTTCCATGGCCTGATTTTTAAAAACAGAAAGCATTCATAATTTATCCCAAACCCCAAGTGTATAAAGCAAGGAAACAACATCTGTTTCGTGATCAACCTCCAAAATGTGACTAGAACACAGAGCGGAAGAAAAGAGTGAACAATCCAGTTGTTACAAAGAGCTTCAATAATATATTGGATGACTTTCTATATACATTAAATCTTTCCCATTGGACTCATAAAGTCACTTTGATGGCATCAAATCCAATTGGCAATGAGTGATGATGTAAATGCAACTCTTCCTGCTTATAATACAGGTTAAAACAGCTTTTCTTCATGTGGATGCATATAACAAATTGATATACATTATATTTTAATAGACAATAATCACCTGAACTGGACATGGGGCAGGCTATCAAATGAATATGTTTTGTTTGGCTCGTCTAACCATACTTTACACATGCTGGGTTTGTTGGTGGGGAAGCCAATGATATGCAGTGTTACATTTTAACATGTTGCTTTAATAAACTTTAGATAACAATACACTTTAAAGGTCCCATGTCATGGCCATTTCCACTGATCATAATTCCATTGTTGAGGTCTACTAGAATAGATTTATAATGTGCAATTTTCCAAACTCACATTGGTTTCGCATAGAGCATCTCTGTAAACTACGTGTATTCACTCTCTCCGCTAAACGGCTCGTTGCAGCTCTTGCCCCGCCTCCCTGTGAGCCCAGTGTGCTCCGATTGGTCGGGACCAGTCGGGACGTTGTGAATCGCGCTGAGCTCCGTGGAGGGTGTGATTTCCTTGTTTAGCGATACACAGCGAAACACAGCCAAACTCATCCTGAGCACACACAAAGTCACAGCCGAAGTAAAAACAATAAGTGTGGCTTGATATTGAGTAAGAAAAAGGTTGATAAACGCTGTGAGAATGGGTCTGCAGAGAGAATGGGTCTGCAGAGAGAATTTCACCGCGATCCCAACTGTCTGTTATCAGCCTGGGAGGAGAGATCAGCAGAGCTGCCTGCACTGAGTTTGTGAGGAAGTCCGTGTATTGGTCAATTTGGACCAATCAGCGGGGGCTTAACGTAACGGCTCCGCGGACGTAACGTAACGGCTCCACGGATTGGTCCATTTCGTTCCGGGTACGGATGACATCATGCGTACCCGGAAGAATCAAATGGATAATGACGTATCTCCAACGAGGCGTTTTGGGGAGGTATTTTCTGTGTTAGAGTTTTACTCGCTACATGGTGTACTTTGAGGGTTTTGACTCTGCACACACCGTTTACATGCATAACAACCTTCATAACACACAAGGGGACGGGTAATAACCGGAAAAGCATGACATGGGACCTTTAAATAAAAAAGGGCACAAAGTTCTGTGAAGAAGCCTTTGAGGCTGTTTTCAAAAACAGTTCAGCTCAATTGTGGCTATGGTTCCCATATAGATGTTTTGGTACATCATACATGACAGTGTAAATACTAGGGATGCACGATAATTATCGGCCCGATATTAGGAATTATGACGTCATCCCGATAAACCCGATACCAGTATTAATAGCCCCGATAATATACAATATATTTTTTGGGTAAAAAAAAAGAAAAAAATACTGCGGTGTGGGTGGATTGGGATGAGGGGCGCTTGTTTTTCACTCGGCTCCTCCCGTTTTGCCAGTACTGTGGTATTAGTGGTTTAGGAAGAGGGGAGTTCTTCACAAATCCAGCGCTCCCTAACTCATGCCTGGCTGTGACGTAAATGGTGTGCGGCCGTGAAGCCAGGACAGTAAACAAACATGTCGTCGGTGGTATGGGCGTTGGAGCTATGTGCAACTCAAGGCATATACTCGAACCGGAGCTGCCTGGACGCTGCAATCATGTTGCGCACTATCCGTGCTGAGTGTGCTGACTTCTCGTACAATGTCCCACTGTCTGGCTTCCTGCATAAAGTCAAGTGCTCGGCGCAGTTGTGGCGAAAAAAACGCTCCTCTGTTTTCATTTAAATAGCTCCGTATATCCGTTAGCGCAGCTAGCTAGCACCAGATGCTAACAACAACAATGCACGTAAGGTCTCTCGCTCGCTCGGGCCACACATACACACACCCTTTACAAACATTACCATTTGGTAAAGTGAAATGCTGTGTGCACCAATGGGGGCACACATGATCATCCCACCAACTCTACAGTTAAACAAAGCTCTCTTCTCAAAGTCAACATCTGTTCTGACATTAGATTTTGGCACACATGCTTAGTTGATGATTTGCCCAATTTGAACTGACAGTGGGTCATTTGTTACAGAGCAGGCTATTTTGGTAAAAACACAGTTTCAGCTTTAGCACATGTCATTCCAAACCACAGGAAGTAAAGACAGTTTAAGATGAATGTAGTTGTGTTTATTTGTGTTTACATTTGCAGTGCATGGCAGAGCTTTTTTTCCGAAATGCAAAACTGTCCAACACTTTACAACTACTAAGAGTGGCATTTCAAATTACAAGAGGTTGCTGAAAGGTTGGGTCTATGCATTTATAAATGCGTTAGGGAATAAAACAGATGTTCTTTTTTTCCTAAGCATTTTCATCATTGGAAATATCTGCTCTAGTGGGATTAGTCCTGCTGTGGTATTTCTATAAAACGGTTGCAATAAATGCTTTTCAAGGTAGTTTCTCCTCTTTAAGAGTCTCAACAGGCGGAGCTTCTGATTTTAAGGAACACCACTTCCTCTATCATATAGAAGTGAAAACACAACAGTAAAATACTGCAAACACATGCAGCATCAGATCAAAGCTGCTTGAGACTGCACTGCCTGCTAGGAAATTAGATTTATGATGTGGCCTTGTGCTTTCACCACCAACACACAGGTCAATGACGGTGCAATTAAGTTATTTGAGTTGATATATAGCATGTGTACTTTTCAAAATAAGAGCCTGTGGTGGACAGAGAGGACTTTATCTGCCGTTCTCTCATGCTGAAGTTTGTGTTTTCACTGAAAACAGCAGGGTAGCAGGGAGAGATGCAGCAAAGGGCAAACTGACATTTCATGAGGGGTTTGATCCCAAGGTGGCAGAGCATGTGTTTCAACTCTCTTTAACCCCTGAGCATTGTTTAACTTTACACAGAGACACTGGAGCTGATTATTTCGGACACTCTTGGGAAGGTTGGTGACCGACCGCTGTGTCCTGATGTCCTAACACATGATCACTTTGGCGGGCTTACAGTGAAGCGACAAGCACCAGGGACATTTTAGGGACGCAATTGGATCAGGTCCATAATGAATTCAGGGCCTGAGATCAGTCCCGCGTTATTTCCCACTCAGTAATCTGGCTGGGGGAGGATTGGAGAGTAATCTGGATAGAAGGCGGGAGAGAGGGAGGGAGGGAGGACAATCCTTTCTGCTCAGTTCCTCTTCACATCGTCAATTTCTGTGTTAAAATGGGTTATAATGTTTTAGTGCTGGTGTGAACAGTTCGTTTTTGATGGATGGATGACAATCTAACTGCAAGCTGAATCATATTGAGATAATACAGGTAGAGTTTTTAAAGGTGCTTTAGACCACATTTCATTCTGTTCATCAGAAATCAGCTATAAAAAGGACTTTGCTCAGTAGTAATAACTAACTAGGGTATATCATAACTGAGTTATAAAAATTGAGCAGACTGTGGGCTGGACCATGACACGCAGTCAAAAGCTATTTATTTTTTTAAAGCAAGTAAATGTACCTTTCATTTGGAATTGTTGGGGGGATGTTGGTAATTAGTTGCGAGTGATTTTGCATATATTAAACATGTGATGATAATCTTTGGATCAAGATTTCAACAGCCCCAGAAGCCAACTATGTTATGTACTTCACGTAGAAGGAATTGGATAAAAGGGATTGAGAGAATATCATTTCAAGCTGATAAGCAGTGACAACATATCTTTACCTTTGATTTGTAGTCAATCAGGTTCTACTGAAGAATGTACTTCTAACCAATCATGTAAAAGTGATATTGTAATATGAAATAAGGAGGAAGTTCATGCGTACATACATAGCCTATATGGAGCTCAACTACAGTATGCTATATAAATACAGTATAACAGTAGCTCTGCTAGCACACTGTAAATGAATGGACAGAGGCGGACACATTCAAGCTAGCTTGCACAACTTCGATCCTCCGTCCACTGTGACAGTGCAACTTCACCATGAGCACCCATGCTGCCTCAAGTACTGTCGGGAATTTCGGAATAACCATATTCAGTTGTAAATATGACTGGGAAAGTATACTATTCATAGTCAGTGTAGGCAATGCTAACTAATGTGCAATGTAGCTACAATTCTACTGCGCATACAGCCCTTTTTGAAAGTAAGAGTTTCCGAGGGCACCTGAAGGCAGCATTATCCTACACCACTACACCGTCGCTGTGATGCGTGCTGTGAGATCACTCATCCAAAATCACCGTCGCTTCACTGCTACAAAGACCGGAGCTTCCCGCCCACTTCCTTTGAGCTGTCTGCTAACAACGCACGTTCCCAAACACTGAGAGAAGAAGAAAATGTTCATATTTTAACTTGACTCACCGTTAGTTGTCTGCTTTTTGACAGTTTGTAGGGAGTCTGCGAGCGTCGCTGTCACCGCTACGATCCGCCCACCCGAGTGTGCACTCCGCTGGCCGCAGACAAATATGCTCCTCCCCGGAGAAGCTCTGCACCAATCATGGCTCGATGTCGATGACTGGCTTTTGTCTTATCCAATAGAATCAAAGCTAAACTTTGAGTGACGAAGGATATATCCAATCATTGCCTCCAAACTATGGGCAGGTCCTTCGTCGTCACCAGACGTACTTTTGATAGACACCTCGAAGGCACAATGGAGAAGTTTGACTCCTTATACGGGACGTTGCCGGTCCAATAGCCGAAGGGGACAGGCTTTGGCCGGCCAAGGCCCAGGAAGACGCCCTTATATCGTACAGATCACTGGAATGTCACCATGAGTAATTGAAGAAAATAGAGACACTCCGGTTTTAAACTACAAATTACATACATATTAACCTGTATTGACGACGGCCCAGGTGTAGCCTTAGTTTCATTTTTCGATCATTAAGTCTGTATTCTACAAATACATAGTAATAGTTAAGCACAACAGCTTTTATGGCAAATCATAATTATGTTTAGAACTGCAGATACTGACAATAAATTATATGTATTGCGAATGGAAATGCATTATCACAATTTATCTCGTTCTCACATTATATCCGCCCATTTTCCCGTGAGAGACAGTCACATTACAATAACTTTCCATATAAAAAACTTGAGAGGGGAAAAATCTAAAGCAGCTAAACTTCAAAATGGTTCAACCTCACATAATGTAGTTTTTTAGTGACACCTAGTGATGAAAATCGCAAACAGCAGTCCCTGTGTGCCTCTAACTCTAGTTTGCATAATTTGTCTGTGATGTCAGATTATATATATATATATTCTGACATCCCAGATAAATGAATATACTCTGCTCTACCCATCCAAAACCCCCTCCCTCAGGAAATCTCTCCCAAAACACAGCCATGACTGCACTGATATGCAGAGCAAGATACTCACCTTTTGAGGATTCCAAATGTTATTAGTTACCTACTTTTTTAACTTGCCGTACAAGTGTCTTTGAGTATCTTGAAAAACGATGCAGAAGTGACTGTTTTGTTTGTTTGTTTGTAAGAAAGTCAGAGCTCAGTCTACAATAGAGGTCTCCAAAAGCCATGAAATACTTTTTGGGTATTTTTGGTATGTTGGGTTATAGGGAAGAGGAAAAAGAAAGGAAGCAGCCATGGGAAATATTATTTAAGCATTGAAAGCCTGGGGGTTTTAATTTAACAACGTTTTCATTCAGGTGAGACGACACAGATTGTTCTTCACGATTAAAATATGTGATAAAAACAACAATCCTTCAAAATAAGATACAAATCAGTCATTACTTTGCTTTCAAAGAGGTTTATTGAAAGAAATATTATTGAAATGTTATAAAGTTTAACCGTTGATAATGCTATCACACAATCAGAACCTAAAGCTTCACCATTTCCCCATCTTTAACATTTGATATGAATAAAGCACTGCATTGTCCAGCCCAGTATTATAAACCAATAGGTAATATTCCAGGGACTGCAATAGAGCACACATCACTGAAAAGATTAACCATTTTCAAAACATTTGTGAGAGTTTTTAAGCGACATAACTCAGTACTTTTCAGCAAAATGTGTTTAATAAATGCTTTTGCTAACAGATTTTAACCCCTCATGCACTGATAAGAAAGTAAGATGTGGTCAAAAACTGCACTCGGATATGTTGATAACAGTCAGTCTTCAGAGCCTGTCTCAGATGGGCAGAAGTAGTTTTGTATTCACTTGATTTCATTTGTAGGTAAGAGTGGAAACAGGAGAAATCAAGCGCCCCGAGATATGTGGGAAAAAGTTCTGCCCAGGACAGCCTCACATGCATCACTCCATTACAATCAAAGATACAATTATACAATGGAATATTGTATCACTATATTTGCAGCTATTCAGTAACCATCTCTTCCATGATCTGGAAGTTGTATGTATATATAAATATCCCATAACCTGGAATAATTCAGTGTTTCACTCTACACACAGTTTGCAAGCATACTGCGAAAATCAGCTGCTTTGCACGTCAAACCTTAGCATTGCTTGATGGTTCTCAATGCAGCATGCAAGTAAAAATGTGCACGATATTAAAAGTATTTAGCATCATCATCCTAATCACATTTCATATCCATTTTAACCATGGAGAGCTTTATTCACTTATTTTTACCCCCCCAATAAGGTGATTATTTTAATAAGAAATTAGAGCAGACTTTATTTGTTTAGTATATTTTCCTCTATGTTATTTTGCATTTCAAAGCATGCCAAATAAATGTTTCAGTTTCTGCATAGTGCTGGCTATACGAGTGCCAAAGAGCTTGATTCCTTTACAAGTAGAAGAAGGTATGTACAGGCAAGGAGTGACGGAGCAGATCCAGTGTTGTGTAAACGTTACCAAACCCCTCCCCAAGTGCTCAAAAATATCTACAAATACACGACTCAAGTCTGTCGGAACTCAGAGAAAGTTGAACAGGGCTGAAAAAAGCTCAGCATTGTGGAAGAGCTAATAAGGAAGGGGTGTGTGTGTGTGTGTGTGTGTGACGGTGTACGGTGTTTTTTTAAATGTTTATGTGTATTCAAATGCAAAGGAAAAACTATCCTCCTTATTAAACCCCTCCCCCAAGCCCACAAACCACCCATTACTCAGTCCCGTAAAGATGATTGGTTTTCAAAGTGCACCCCAGACTGTTATATTAATGCATTATGCATTACATAAATGTATTCTGTAGCATTTAGTATTCCACTAAAGTCTAAATACAAGGAAGGAGAGTCGACAATAACCACATTCTAGTTGTGAGGTCATAGATCTGAATTTAAAGACACAGTTCGGGCCACTATGTGACTGTTATTGAACAGTAACAAAACTCTCGCTACAGAATGTGTGATGGCGAGGAGGAGAGCCCGCTTTCGAAAATCACCTCAGCACTGATGTAGAATGAACACAACATATTCACTGGTTGGGAAAATGTTTAGATTGATTTGTTATAGGCCCTTGTTCTTGGTGACCACAGGAAGGGAGTACTGTTGAAAACATAGTAATGTTAATGGGAAGGGGCGCCGCCAGGAATTTTGGGCCCCATGAAAAGATATCACATTGGTTACTTAAAGGTCCCATGTCCTGCTTTTCCGGTTATTACCCGTCCCCTTGTGTGTTATGAAGGTTTTTATGCATGTAAATCGTCTGCTGAGTCAAAAACCCTCAAAGTACACCCTGTAGGGAGTACAACTCTAACACAGAAAAGACCTCCCCAAAATGCCTCATTGGAGATTTCTCATTTTCCATTGTTTACTTCCCTCTGCCAGCATTTCACGAAACAAAGCTTCCCAAACCTTTCAGTGTGTACATCGTAGGGCACTGAAGAACGATGCTGTTCCTACTTTGTTTGGACCAGCGGGAGATTCAGGAACACAACCTGTAAGTATTCATTGTTGTTTGTGTATTTATGATGTTTAAAACAAACAAGGTATCTACCACGACTGTTTAAATGGGTAAACGTTTTTCGGGCTACTACGTTGGGATCGTGGAGAAATGCTCTCCGCAGACCCATGCTCACAGCGTTATAAACCTTTATCTTACTCAATATCAAGCCACACTTATTGTTTTTACTTCGGCTGTGAGTGTTTGTGTGTGCTCAGGATGAGTTTCGCTTGTTCTCGCTGTATCGCCGACACGGAAGCCTGTCTGCTCCTCGCAGCAGCTCATACCAGCTGTGAGCAGTAACGAGCCTCAACGTCCCGACCAATCAGAGCACACTGGGCTCACAGGGAGGGGGGGGGGGGGGGGGGGGGGCAGGAGCTCCAACAAGCCGTTTAGGACAGAGTGAATACCGGTGAATACACATACGTTACAGAGATGCTGTATGAGAAACCAATGTGAGTTTGGAAAATTGCACAGTATAAATCTATTTTAGTATACCTCAACAATGGAATTATGATCAGTAGAAATTACCATGACATGGGACCTTTAAACATTTTTTTCTTAATGTTCTAAAATAGTTTGGGCCCCTGTCAGTCACAGGCCCTTAGAATCGTTGGTAATGAGTGTCAGCAAAGTAAAACACAACAACAAGCAGAGAGGCTTCAGTAGTAAGAAGGACATTTGCACAGAATGCTTAAAAGGGGGTCCTATAAACTTTACCCCAACAGTGATCCAATTACGATCACAATTGATCTGAAAGTAGCAATAATCTATTTTTACAGTGTACAAACCAACCTGATCTTCACAATAATGCTCTAGGTTTAAAATCTAAATTACACCCCAAAAAATGATTTTAAGTCACTTTGAAGAATGTCCTTGGTTGAAATTTAAAATCACAGATCAATCAATTCACATGTTTCAAAAATCACCAATGATCATGTGTTACAGCATTTTCTTGCTTTGGTTGGATACTAAAGTGCACCTTTAACAAAGTGTGACATCACCTGCTCACATGCAGCCACACGGTCCAATCACTGTGCAGGAGAGATGCTGAATATACAGGGACAGGTAAAGCAGACCATGTGTATTGAATGTGGCTTTGTGTGCAATTGCAAATTGATCAGCTTAGAATTATTAAAAGTTATTATGACAATCATGTGTACCAGTCACAAAGCACTTTATAAATAGTGAATAATGCTTGTTCATTTCAGGATTATTATTAAGAACACATGGGGAGGGACACAAAGCTTTCACTTGCTGCACCTAATGACCCAAGACTAAATGATAAAACACAGGCAATCAAAAAAAATCCTTCAACAATAAATAAATACAATAACTCAGACCAGCAAGCAGCAGTACAATCTTCACAACTATTCATTAAAGTGGAACTCCACCCGAGTTAAGGTTACAATGTTAAAGTCTTTCCGTTCTCATTGGTTTTGAAATCTGAAACAACAGAAAATGAACCTTCTAACATCAACGACACATTCCTGAGTCTTTATAAACATCTGCACTGTAAGAAATAAAGTGCTAAACGGATGCAGTTAAGCTGCTACAAGTCTTAACTGTTTAAAGGACTATTGCACTTCAGTCAGCGTTCCCTCCTCTGTCGGGACGTTTCAGTGTGTGGTACAGGTCAGGAGAATACACGGATCATTTTGTATCAG